GGTTTCTGTTCCCTCGCCGTGCATTGACCTCCAGCGTCTCCCTACGGGTCTTTGTTGTAGCCGACGCCCTCCTTTCAGCGTCATTCTTGATACAAAAGTACCTGCTGCTTTCGATCTCCTGGTTAACTGTCGACGATTCCGCCAACATGAACATATTGGCACCCTATTCGAGCAATCTATTCCTGTGATGCGTTCAATCCACTTGCTGTGGTAGAACCCGAAGTAGCTAGTCAATGCCTGTAAATCCTCGCCAAATACCCCAAAACCATTTACCTCAGATGTGCTACCTCGCCACAAAATATTCTTAAGCAAATTCACACCACCAGCAACCCTACTTTGGTTTTCCGGCCAAATATTTCACCGTGCTAAATGTGTGTTCTGTTACCGTAAAGGTCGAGTTTGAACATATGCAGTATATAACCTAACACATGAGGTGTGCTGACGGAGAGTGTGATTATCAATTTTGGGCACGTTGCGCATTTCAAGCCTTTGACCAACCCGTTCCGGATAATGTCCATTTTACCTATAGACTATGATTCTAAAATATTTTATCGGTCAAGATGCCAACGCATTCGCACAGAAATCAAAATTTCCTTATATTCTGGCAATTTCTTATGTTCGTAACTGTCCTAGGCCTAGGGTGCGCGTTTCTGCTTGTTTGGCTTTTAAGGGAGAATAATTTGACTTCGAGAGCTTTACCAAGCAAGAACGTCCAAGCACTCGCCATTTCGGTAAACACTTTCAAGAACTACGTTGCTAAAGGTTTTCTTAAATATGCAGCCCGGAAATTATCCTGATGGGTAAGCTATTGACAACACAGAAAACCGTAACTTATATTTCAAGAACACTCTGAAACTCAAGTGAATCCATCGTAGGAAAAATTAGCACATGCGTTTCACGGGCGAAAATTTATCTTGTTATAAGCTAAATTGCATGCTTAGAGCTGCATCTGCGCAAATCTATTAAAATTTGATAACCATTGACTGAAGTATGAGCATGTGACTTCATAGAATATTTTAATCCCATGAGGTCCTCCTCAGCGAAATCAAGGGGAACCTACCACAACTTTAGCAGTATAAAAAACTAAAAACATGTTGATAGTACGGCGCTCACCGATCGTCAAATTAACGATCGCGACAAGCAAAAACAACGAGCTCGTGGTGCAATGGTAGAGTGTTACACTCCATGACCAAAGGGTCGCGGGTGCGAATCTCGGGGGTCGCCACCCCTGGGGTTGGGTATGACTGGCTGATGATGGCTAATAGGACAGAAATGATCACTCCAGACTTCCTTGTCTTTTTTCGGTTCCGCTACATTACTAAAATGCTGCATCAATGTATCGCAGAGGGTTATGTTAATAGAGAAAACCATAGCAGTTGCGATCTTCAGGTCCAGTTCCTCGTGGGAGGCCAAGTGGTTGGAATAGTCTATTCCCTACAGAAGGAATGGAGAAAAGGTAGGAGGAAGTTGACTATCGGACGAGTGCAGTCCGTCCGCTAGTGAGACCGCATCCGGGGTCAGAGTGTAGGTAAACATCGCAGTAAGGCCCTTTGTGAGTCGATCTTGGTGATTGGGCAGACTGGGGGAGGCAAACAAGTGCACGCGTGTTAATGGGCCGCGCTAGACAAGCGTTCACGCGGGATATGCGGCTGTCCTAAGGTAGGTCGAGACTTGCAATCAATGTGGACTCATGCATGGCATGCATGGGTCACTACGAATGTTGCCCAATGAGAGCATGAAACGCGTTCCCGGATATTACGCATTTGACTTTATACCAGACTTCACGTAGCATTGATTCTTGCAGGATAGTTAATAGAGATATACCGAAGACATACTTTAAACACCAAAACTTGAACTTGAGTTTAGTGCTTTTTCAAAATTTGCATCCTTTTTCAAGAAATGGTTCTTCCTAATCAATGAACTACCGTTTGTACCACTTAACCTTCAGAAAAAATAAGCGTGGGCTAACAGTTACGTTTCGGAAGACGAAGATGCGATCACTGGAACGTTTCGGACTCACGAGGGCAAACCTTATCCTTCTGTAATACAGGCCTGGTGGCAATAGGGGTTAAATGGGCGGAGCATATCCGGGAAAGAAAAAATTATTAAAAAATAGAGCGGCTAGTTCAGCTCTGTAGGAGACCTGTTAGGCATAACCCAACTTTTCTCCAAACCATCAGCAGCTATTGGGATTCATTTCCAACCGGTCGTAATTGCGATTGTACGGTTACCTCAAGGATCGAATTAGTTAGCCACTTGCAAATCCATCACACCGTGACCGGCGCCAGGAGCCCAGA